CTCCTCTGCTCCCCACCGAGAGCTCATCAGGTCTGGAGATGCCCAGTAAAGCACGCCGGTCAGCGTGGGTCTGACAGAGACTCACCTGATGCTCTGTCTGCAGCTACGTCACCACATCACTGGTAGCACATGTAGTAAGCAAGCACACTAAGATGTGAGAAACGTTAATCTGAAGGGCATAGCTTGATGTGTTAGCTTCACATTTCCTGTTGTGTGGTGCCATTGAGTCAATTTGGGTCCACAGCGACCCCATATACAACAGAAGGGAACAGCGCCCAGGCCTGCGCCAACCTCACAGTTGTTCCTATCTTTGAGCCTACTGTTGTTGGCACTGGGCCAACCCCTCTTGTTGAGGGTCTTCCTCTTTTGTGAAAACCCTAAATCAGCAAAACTTAACTTTTGGTGTGGCCTTCGCTGTAGGATAAGCACTGGACTACAGCCACATCCCAGACCCTCACACCCAAGTCCTCTGTCCACAATGGCACACTACTTCCTGGACACACAGCCACGTCCTTCAACTCCAAATTCAGGATCCCCTAGGGGGCTCAGGCCCCCAAACCTAGTTCTCAGATTCGTCACACATAAAGATCTATGGAAGCGGGTAAAACAGGCTACTGAGCATGTGGACCTTTTTCTATTCGTTTCTATTCTTTAAAGGTGGCTACAGATTTGTTAACAACACACTTTACCTTGATTGGAGTACTTACCAGTAACTCTGTTAGTCATTTTCAAAAAAGCTTTCTTTCTAATAAATTGCTAGAATATTTTTCCCAAAGGCAAATTCTACATGCAAAATGTTACTAACCCTCTCCAGAAAACTGTTTACATGCAAATGGCCGTGAACATGATTGGTTCTTTGTACAAAACTAGTTGTTTCAGATGCAGGAAGGTCAAGCACACCCTTGTAGTGAAAACAGCACGTTAACAGTGAAGGCTACCATCCCTGGGGAGTAACACTGCTGCAGGAAGAAAGGCCCCTGGAGGCACGCAGTGGGCCAACCATTCTCCCCAAGCGCCCCCCCGTGGAACTTCGGGACACCAAACACAAAGGAAGCTCGGTGGTCACTCCTGGACCTAATAGTGGAATGCCCCATCCACTCCGAATCCTGTACGCAGAGATTTATCAGACCCAGACAAAAGAAACCCAGTCCTGTTATATGACTTAGGAACTATGTTTCAAAATACAGGAGACGGAAAGCCAGGGGAATGTCTGTGGAATTGGCCTTAATGCCCCCACCCCACTCAAGTCAACCCCCAAGTCACCACCTAGCCTATCCGTAATGTTAAAGACTTTCAAGCTTTCGTAGTATCAACTATTTTGTTTCTTGACTATCGCAAAACATAGCCAAAGGGATCCCAATGTAGTTGGTTCTGCCTTGGGACACAGGGACCCGGGAACCCCGAGGACAGGGCAGAAGTGCCCTGCACAGTTCCTGAAACGAACTCTTTACTGGAGCAGACTGCATCATCTTTCTTTCTCCCAAGGAGTGACTGGTAGGTTTGTACCGCCAACCTTTCGGCTGGTAACCAAGCACTTAACCTTTGTGCCACCAGAGCTCCTTTTAGCAACACACCCAAAAATCTAGAAATTCGAGAAAGTGCACAGAGAAAAGGAAGCCACCATGTGTCTATCTGAGGCAGCCCAGAGCCGATCAATATTTTTTTCACCATTCTCTCCATTTGTCGATTTTCCCCCCGCATAGTGAGCTACCACCGTGGGAATGCTTTTATGATCTCACATTATAGATGAACATACACATACGTTTTTCAACATAGTGAGCGACCACCATGGGAACAATTTTGTGATCTAACATTATAGATGACCATAAAAAGACATTTCAAACATAGTGCGATCCCACCTCGGGAATGATTCTGTGATCTCACATTATAGATGAACACTCTCAGCATAGTCAGCTACCACCATGGGAATGAGTTTGTAATTGAACGTTATAGGTGAATGTAAACACAGTTCATCTTGGACATTAGCACATCTGACCAGCAGAGATCCATCTCACAAGAGAACCGGGCTCCAGTGTCCACCAAATGGTCGCAAACCCGTGCCACCATGGTCACCAGCCACAACCAGGGTAAAGCTACAGAAAGACCACCAGCAGGGGCTTCTCCATGAGGAGCTGTGAGAGTACTGAGAACTCTGAGGACAGGCCAAACTAGATACTGAGACTGAGCAAAGGCAGCGAGGACCTGAATCAGGTGTATTCAGGAAGAGCCCACGAGGGGAGGGAGGAGAGCTCTGAGCTCCTGAGCAGCTGAGCAGCTGGCTGCAGAACAGACAAGTTCGAGTCACCTGAGGCAGACTTCGGCCAGGCAGAGCCGTCTCTGCGGAGGAACTTGGAGCTGATAAAGCATCTGCTGAACCTTCATGTGGTTAGATCCAGTTCTTGTCCAGTACCTCCCTGACGGGAGCCTGGCCCACTGGCCCAGGGAGGCAATGAGCAGAGAGGTCACAGCCAGTACCAGGGCACCCTGGGTCACTGTGAGCACGCAGGTCCTTTCAGAGGCCTAGGCAGAGCTCATCTGCACCAGACCTGGCCCTAGCCCTCCTACTTGGGAGGTCAACATCTCCTTTTCGGATACACCCAGAACCATGACAAACAGAGCTCCCACAGCAGTTATTGTTGTTGTTAGGTGCCATTGAGTCGGTACCGACCCATAGCGACCTCATGCACAACAGAACGAAACACTGCCCGATCCTGGGCCAACCTCACAATTGTTGCCATGCTTGAGCCCACTGATGCTGCCACTTTGCCAATCCATCTCACTGGGGGTCTTCCTCTTTTTCTCTGACCCTCCACCTTACCAAACATGATATCCTTCTCCAGCGACTGGTCCCTCCTGACAATAGGTCCCAAGTATGAGAGATGAAGTTTGGCCATCTTGGCCTCTAAGGAGCACTCTGGCTGCACTTCTTCCAACACAGATCTGTTGGTTCTTTTGGCAACCCATGGCACTTGCAATATTCTCCTCTAACACCATAACTCAAAGGCATCAATTCTTCTACGGTCTTCCTTACTCAGTGTCCAGCTTTTGCATGCATGAGATTATTGAAAATACCATGGCTTGGGTCAGGCGCACCTTAGTCCTCAAGCTGACATCTTTGCTCTTTGACACTTTAAAAGGGTCTTGTGTAGCAGATTTGCTTAATGCAATACATCGTTTCATCTCTTGACTGCTGCTTCCGTGAGTGTTGATAGTTGATCCAAGAAGAATGAAGTCCTTGACAACTTCAATCTTTTCTCCATTGATAAGAGCGTTGTCTACTGGTCCAGTGGGTAGCATAAAATCAAGATGCCAAGGGTTAGAGCAGAGCCAGGATGGGGGAGGGACTACCTCCGTAGAGGGAAAGACAACGGCTCTGAACATGGGTGTGTAGGGGACCTTGGGTGGCACGGGATCTGGGCACTGGGAAACACACCTCCCTCTGAGCCCATTACATGGAAGGCTGTGTTCCCACCGTGCCGTGCACACCCCTACCTCCACTACAACTGTGTACGACATGCTTTTCTGGAATGCTCATCTGTTTGTAAAACTTTGAATTCACCTGTAATTGGGGTATTTCACACAAACAATGGGATCTGGTATAGTAACAATGTGAGTTCAACCTCCGGCCGTGTCCTGTTCAACCTGCCTGGGCTCTGCTGGGCCAGAGAGGGTGTAGAGCTGGCCTACTCTGTAGGATGTGGTTCTAAAACTTTGTTGTTGTTGTTAAATGCCTGAGTTGGTTCCGCCCCACACAGGGTTTCTGAGGAGCACCTGGTAAGTCTGAACCACCAACTTTGAGGTTTAAACCAACTTTGTTGTCCAGCACACAGTGCTACACCAGGACTCCTAAAAACAAAAACTCCATGCCACATTCTAAGTGGCACACCCACACACACGCTCAGCACAAGTAAGGGCCCCACAAACTCTCTTCCCATGCAACACGTTTGCATATTTAGTGGCAGACCTGGGAATCTGTGTTTAATTCGTGCCTATTGAATGCTGGCTCTGAAATAGGAAGCAGGAAGACAAAGGGGAACACAGCTTAGGGAGTCAATTCCCCGCAAATTCAAGAGGGGAGGGAAATCTGGTTTCACACAAGTGTCCTGTGTGAGCACCACACTGTGTGGGTGTGATTCAGGTTATGTGTGTGCAAGAGTCCAAACCCTGTGCACCGAGATGGCATGGGTTAGGGCCGTACACACAGGACCCCATGTCCCGTGCACTCGGTGAGGCTTCACAGGATGTTCCCTGCCGTGGTGTGAAATGCACGCCCACAACGACAGCAAACTCTAGTCAACGGGGAAAATGCAGCCATGGAACTTGAGATCTGCTCTCGGACATCAACGTTTAAAAGAGATTTAATTGGACCTGGTCATTGAAAGGGACCATCACCGTTCTTAAGTCTAAGTGTTTTCATAACACAGGCAGTAAGTTCATCGAGAGGCTGAGTTTGAAAGCCTGAAGGTGCTAGTGGAACACATCAGAATGTTCTATGCATGGCGCTAAAAGGAAGCAGAAGACTACAGCCATCATTAAAAAAAGGTTGTCCCTGCAAGGAGAGCAACTTACACGTGAAAACCACAATAAGCTTTTGCTGAATTTCCAACACACAACAGACTCATTCGATCAAATTCTGTGAAAAGTCTACCCAAAAAGAGAAATGCCAGTGGCTTCAGCAAAAGGCCCTCCACTCCCCAACTATTTAAACACCAAATAAAGGGACACTGAAGAGCTGCAACTGAGACCAAGGTCACACGATTTCTTGAACACAACTTCTTCCACACTGACCTTCCATTACTCATCTGAGTAATAACAAAGGTAGCAGGCGGGGAGGGAGAGCTGGGGAACATCCACTCTCCTTCTGTTCCGTGCAGCACAACTTACGCACTGGCTCTGAACGGCCTCCTTCCCACTTTTCTACCCCAGGAAGCAAGGAACCTGGCTGGGGGAACTGTTTCACACAGCTGCCTGTAACTCAGCAAGACGCAGCCGGTACTCACAGTCTGCAGTATATTCCACCTGAGGGGGCTGCGCAGTAGTGCCCTGGGCCGCCTGGGGTGTGGGTGTGGAGCTGTCAGCCTGGGCTTTACGGACCAGGGCTGCCAGAGGATGATCAGGGTCCACCACCTTCAGAGGCTAGAGACAAAGAACAGAACACTTTGAAGCACACAGCACACGCGGCACACCAAGGCCCCAGTCGCCCACCAATGCAGAATGTGTCACTCTTCCTCCAGCTCGACTTGGGTTTTGTTCTAAAACACACTAGGAGCTCTGGTGGCACAGTGCTTAAGCACCTGTCTGCTAACCAAGACCACAAGTCCACCAGCTGCTCCTTGGGAGGAAGATGAGGCAGTCTGTTTTCACAAGGATTTACAGCCTTGGAAACCCTATGGGGAAGTTCTCCTCTGCCCTGCAGGGTTCACTATGAGTTGAACTCAACTCAATGGCAACAGATTTGAATTTGGTTTGATGGGCAGCTAAGACATCCGGGTGGCACAGCAGTTAAGAGCTCGTCTGGAAGGTTGGCAGTTTGAATCCACCAGCTACTCTGTGGGAAGAAAGATGTGGCAGTCTGCCTCTACAAAGATCATCATCTCGGAAATCCTCCAGAGCAGTCCTACTCCGTCTTGCATGGCAGTGGGCTTCTCAGGTGACCACGTGGTTTTAAAACACACACACAAACATGGACACCACGGAGGTCCCTGACTATTGTCGGGTAGCGGGCTGGAGTCCAGAGGAGTCCAGTCACTGGAGAGCTGGGGTCTTAGGGACAGCCATCAAGGGAAGCAAGGAGACAATCCAGACAGCAACTGAGCACAGCTCCAGAGTCACCAGGAGCTTGAGACTTTGTCCTTCCCTGAAAGCATTTCGGATTTTTACTCAACCACAGCTTCGCCTGTCAGATCACTCAGAAAGGTGAACTGACTGTGGAGTGGATAAGGGCAGGTGCCAGACAGACAAAGCAGAGAAGCTCCTTCCTAGATTCCAAATCTGGACTAAGAGCCTACATGTGCTCAAACTTACGAAAATAAAAATGATTTGTGTGTGAAATTTACCACATAGGAAATGTGTGAAATAGTGGGTTAATGTGCTGGACTGCAAGTTATTTGAACCACAAGGTCAGTGGTTCAAGCTTAGCAGCCATTCCTTGGAAACTCTATACAGGACCCTCATGGGTCGGTACCAACTCGATGGCACTTAACAACAATAATGATAAAACAAGTTCTAGCTCCAAATTTGGCATTATAGGAGATAAGCACTGGATTACTAACTGCAAAGCTGGTGGCTCAAACCCACCAGACTCTACTCCTTGGAAACCCTATCCAGGGTTACTAAGAGTCGCTATGACTCAAAGGCACCACTAACAAAAGGAGAAATGGCATGCTTAATAGCTTCAAAAATGACATGACTGGGCATCTTGTTGGGGCATGAAAACACAGAGTTCAATATAGAGATAGAAACCTTCATAAGTTCCTCCAGGCGGCTGCACTTTTTGGAAGCAAAGAGAGACGGATGCAGGTAGTTACCGTCGTCTTCATCATCGTCGTCGTCATTGTCAGAGGTGGCCCCGGACTCTGAAATCCACAAGTACCCTGTGAGATTGCTGTGAGGTGAGGAGACCCGCACAAAGCAACGTGTGCAAAACCCTCAGAAGCTGGACGTGGATATTACTTGGTGATCTATCCAAGAAGCACGCTGGGAACATTCCCTACAGTGTTACCATTCAAGTCACTGCAGACAAAGGGCCAGCAAGAGGATGGGTCTTGGCAGCCTGGCAAACTCCCTCCGGCCCAAACCCACCCGAAGGTTACAGGAAGCAGTGTGCCACTTTACATCCTGAGTGAAATGTCTTAGTTTGTTCAGAAAAAGGTCTTACTGATTTATGGAATCATACATTTTTGTTAAAAACAACAACCTAGTAGCTAGCTTGGGAAAGGAGAGTTGGTAGTGTAGTGGGTTACAAATTGGGCTGTTAACTGCAAGGGTCAGCAGTTCGAGTCCACCAGCTGCTCTCCAAGAAAAAGATGAGACTTTCAGTTCCTGTAAAGATTTACAGCCTTGAAAACTCTAAACAGGATCAGAGTTGGAACAGACTCCACAGCACACAATCAATTAACCAACCAACTTGGGGAGTCCTGGTATGGAGTTGTAGGGTAAGCAGAGTTGTAGGGTAAGCTTTGGGAACGCTCTGTAGGTTCAGAACTGACTCGATGGTACACAACAATTAGCTTGGGGAAGACTGAGATATGCAATCCGACTTACACAATTCAGATCAGCTGAAGAGAGCAAAAGTTCAAGGAAGGCTATATGTATATATGTGTACATCTAAGTACACATACATATGTACATACAGTCCTGGGATGGTGCTGTGGGCTCACACGCTACACTGTAAGGTCGATGGTTCAAACTCACCAGCTGCTCCTTGAAAATCTCATAAAGGGTTGCTATGGGTAGCAATCAACTTGATGGCACTTAACAACAAAAACAACTAGGCTACTGTCTCTGCGTATGTTAAAAATGGAAGTTATACATGTTGGTGGTGGGGGTAAGTGCTTTCAATTGGGTTCTGACTCACAGAGATCCTGTATAGGGTTTGGGAGGAGCGGCTGGTGAGTCTGAAGCACCGACCTGGCAGTTCAAACCAACCTTAAGGTTGAGTGCTTATCCTATGGCACCATACCAGGACCCTGACTATACACGTATTTGTTGTTAAGTGCTGTGCAGTCAGTTCAAATCATAGCGACCCTGTGTAGGGGTTCTGGGAGTCCTGGCGTGGTGCTGTGGGATAATGCACTGGACTGTGAGGTCAATTTGAACTGCAAGGTTGGCAGTTCAAATTCATCAGCCGCTCCTCCAAAACCCTACACAGGGTTGCTGAGTCAGAACAGACTTGACGGCACTGAACAACAGCAGGGTTTCTGAGGCTCTAAATCTTTGTGGGAGCAGAAAGTCTCATCTTTCTCCCACGATACGTGTATCTCTCTTTATAAAAGGACCCCTGTGATGTAGTATATTATAAGCTGGGGGGCTTTCGGTAAGGGTTAATACTTCCAGCCTATCAGCTGTGGGAGAAAGAGGAGGTTGTCTGCTCCCGTAGAGATTTACAGCCTCTGGAATCCTTATACAGGGTCGCTACATATGTTGCTGAGTTGTTAAGCGAGTTGCTTCCAACTCATAGTATAGGGTTTCCAAAGGCTTTAAAAATCTTTGCAGGAACAGAAAGCCTCTTTTTTATCATGTGGAGTGACTGGTGGCTTTGAACCACTGACCCTGACGTCCACAGTTCAGTGCTTACTCTCTGGAACCACCGCATTCTCTCTCTCTCTCTCTCTCTCTCTCTCACACACACACACAGAGGAACAGACTACTTCATTAGGTATATTAAAAAATTTGAATTGCTGACCCCTCTGAACGGCATTACAATAGGGGCACTGGGAGAAAAATGTGGAATCAAATGCAAAATCATCTAAAAAACCAGACTTAGTGGTCAGAGACTGGCAAAACCCTCAGATACCTTTCAATCCTGAAAGTGAACCCACCCCCAGCAGATCAAATTCCAACCAGTAACAAGCGGGCCTGAAGGGGAGTGGTCACACCAGGGAGGTATGCACTCCTTAGGACAACCAAGCACAGCCCAGGAGGCAGCAAGGGGGAATGGAAACAGATACACAGAGGCAGTGGAAGAGAGAGCGCTGTTCCACGGTGGGGACTGAAATCAGTGTCACCCAACAAAACGGCAACGGACTGTTGGATGAAGAAGCACTCTGTAAACTCTCACCCACGTCACAATCAACAGTTAAAAAGGAAACAGTATAAGAATTCCAAACACAGACACTGCTACAAACAGTTCTCAGAGATTCTCCAAGTGGCACAATGTGTCCTGTGGCTCTCACGCTGTGGGACAAGTGGCCCAGTGGAGACACTACTGGCAGGGTGAGCCCTGCGATCCCTACAATGTGTCAAATAGTCACATGGGAGAAAACATAGGTGACAACGTGGAGAACCAGAAGCACTGGGATCTGAAAACTCATCCCATTGGAATTCAGTGTATTTACAGTGTGGGGTCAGCAGGGCGATCATCTTGCCCTGTGACAAGATCATAAACAGGCTAACAGAGCCAGGCTCTTCATGAACGGACACACACAGGCAGAGGGGCCGGGGTGGGGGGCACGTACTTTTCTCTTCAGTTTTGTTCTCGGCCAGCACTGTGTAGCGCCCCTCTTTCATGGCTTTCTGGATGAACTTGTAGTAGGGGTTGAGGTAGTGATCGAATCGCAAGAAGTCGAATTGTGAGTTCCGGGCCTGCTTGGCTTTCAGCATGATCTCAAACTGGGCCCCCTGCTTGCACACAAAGTTGGCCGTGCGCTCGATGATTGCGTGCATTTTTGCGGTTGGTGGCTAGAAGGAAACACAAAGACTCATGTGACCCAGGAAGTTTCTCTGTCACTGCCACTGCCACAAGTGACAAGCAGATAGTACTTTCAGGTTTGCTGCCACGTATAAAAGACAAGACTCATTTCCAAAGGAAGGCCTAGACCCCGAGGAGCTGAGAACGATGCCAAGGGCACCGGCTGCCCAGCAAACCCCATTCTGTTCTACATTTCACCACACCTGGTGGGGAGAAAGCTCACCACCTAACGTCAGAACTGACAAATTTCTTTTTTATACAGAGTCAAACCATTTTAATAAATTACAGGGTTTTTAGCCGGGGCTTCCAGCTTTACACATACACACTGAGAGCTGTGAGAGTCAGAGCTTGAAGGCACTGCCTTGGTTTTCCCAGGTGTCCCAATGTTCTGCTTCTAACAGGCTGCAGTCTGGCCACTTTTGTATTGCTCGTTCTAGTGGAAAGCACCTACGTTTTCCTTCCCTGACGCCTCTTACAGCTGGGGCTCCCTTGTACATCAAAGCTCTGACTGTGGACTACGGCTGCACACTCAGGCTCTTTCCTCCTGCCACAGAACTCCGAGGCCACACGCAGCCCTGTTCTATGTAGCCAGGGTGGGCCTGTCTGTGCTCCCACCGAGATAGCAGTGAAGTGACACTCCAGGTGTGGGCCGGCCAGAGCTGAGGGAAGCAGCCCCAGCCTGCTGCTGCCTGACTGTGGTTCCTTCTGGACCTACTGGAGCCCTGGTGGTTCAAAGTCACCAGGTGCTGCATGCGAGGAAGATGAGGCTGTCTGACCCATAAAGACTGAGTCTGTACAGGGCTGCTAGGATTGGGTACTGACTACATGGTAGTGGGCTTTCTCAAGGATGTGGGCTGCATGCGCTGACACGCTGCTTGCAAGTCACGCCCACCTTGTCAGATGCTCGGGCTCCTAGCCACCAGGATGCTGACAGCTGCATTGCAAACACCTTGGCTGTCAACAGAGTGATCAATGCCAGCAAATTACATGCAAATGGAAATGATCCTCATTAGAGACGGGCAGTTTCCAAGATGCTAAGGGTAATTCCAGGGCCTCATCCTTTATCAAACAAAACTGCTTCATTAAGATTGATGAATTATGATATAAACGTTGCCCATTAACAGTATTTACTGACCCCAACAGATGAGACTGCACGTGAAAGGCCCACTATGCCCGTTTCTGCATGCGTAATACCAAATGAAACCCTGTTGGCAAGTTCCCTGGGCTCCAAAGAAAGAAGACCTCCGGACACAGTGCACTCTGTGCACACGTCAGTCACGTGGGCCACTTCAGGGATAAGGAAACACTAAGGCTCCCCTCATGTGCCGTGCTTTCTCTACTGAGCGAGCTACTGCTCACGCTCATTGTCTTAGGAGGAGACTCAGTGACCCGACAGGACAAGAAGAGAATGACCCACAGGATTTCTGAGGTTGTCAATCTTTAGGGAAGCAGCCTGCCTCATCTTTCTCCCGTGGAACGGCTGATGGGTTCGAACTGTCAACTACTAACCTCAGGCTTCACAGACTCGGTTTTAATGTTCAAGCACTGGAAGGTCTGTGGCAAGCCTGCATCAGTACCATATTTACACCAGCATGTGCTCCCTTCAGGTGTCTGTGTCCCATTCTGCTTATTCACACAGTATCTCCGACTTTCTCCTCACGTTTCACAGACCACAGTAGAGTGCAGTCATGACTTTTCCATGCACTAAGAAAGAAGCAATGTGTGTGACTGAGTGTACTGTGGCCTTTGCTTTACTGTGGTGCTCTGGGACCGAACCCACAGTGTCTCCAGCTATGTCTGGCATGCCTTATTGGAAGGGTGAACTGGCAAGGGAATGTTGTTGTTGTTGTGTGCTGTGGAGTCGGTTTTGAATCATAGTGACCCTGTACAGGGTTTCCGAGGCTGTAAATCTTTATGGGAGCAGAAAGCCTCATCTTTCTCCCGCGGAAGAGCTGGTAGTTTCAAACTGCTAACCATGAAATTAGCAGCCCGATTCATAACCACTACACTACCAGAGCTCCTGGCAAGGGAATACCGTCCTTTAATTGAAACCCAACTAGAAGCCATGCTTTGCTTCTCTTCCTTACTCTTCCTACAAAAGCCTCAGACATCATGTAGTAACTTAGTCCCTAACCTGGGAATCTTGGTTTACCATCTGAGAATCCCATACGGTAGCTGCTCCCTTTCCCGATGGCCTGGCCTTCCCTGCTCTGCAACTCAGACAACTTGGCCCATCAGGCGGTGATGGTCCATAGCTCGGCCCCACCTGTACTGAGTCCCAAACACAGTGCTTAGGGTGTAGGCACTTGCATGCTATTTCCTTTTCTGACACAGACACCGTACTGCACATATAACAAGCTACTGAAAACAACAACAACAACAAAAAACCCCAAGCAGAAAGAAACCCCACAATAATTGTGAACTGATATTAAAACCCTAATGCTAGTATCAAGGGAAAACCCACGCAATACAGTGACTCAGTTAGTTATGTTCACACAGTTTCTACATAATCAAACTGAATTTCCTCTTCAAGAGATACCTTTTAATAAAAATAGTGAAAGCAACTCTGTAGCTGTAAAATTATTACACACTTAGGCTTAATTTGCCTTTTATTTCAAAAATAAACAAAATTCTGTATGGCCGACTTTAAATAAACGTTTCGAGCATTACTATAGTTAAGGGAGCAGTTGTGGTTTTAAGATTCCATTTTAAAGGTCTCCTATGTAGAATAAACTGCATTTTCCAAACAAGAATTAACACAGTAGATGCCAACACTTAAAATACATGAACAGGAATCTCAGGACATCAAATCTTCACGTAATAGCTTTAGCTCTACTTACAGCAAACAGATCAGGGGTAGAACCAGGTGGAGGTCAACCTAAGTAATAATGATTCTCAGATAAAAATCAGAGAAAATGTTACCTAGGTGTATGTTACGTGCAGGCTAACAAGTTGCTGGGGCAACAGCGGGCCCCTTACTTGGGCATGGGTTGGGAAAGGGAGGCTTGCTTGGAAAAGCGCCAGCAATGAAGGTTTGTTCGTGGCGCCTGCCCTTCCAGCAGGTTCACGTCTGTGGGGAGATGCTGGCTGTGGCTGCCCTGCTCTGTCTCTCGGGACTTAGGGTTCCCACCAGGCTCCCTGGGGCTGCTTAGAGAGCACTGGACGCACAGAGGCAGACAACTGCAGGTGCACAAAAAGCTAAAGAAGCTTGTGCAGGGGTTATTTTGCTACACATGCATCAAATACATAGAAACACACGACTGTATCTACTCCAGTGTCACACAACGCCCAACTCACGTCCTCCATTTCATAGAATGTATCAGGGACGTCATGTGAAAAACAGAAAGAGGGAAGGCTAGCTGAACGATGAAGGAAGGAATGGGGTGGTGGCAGGAACTCATGGAGCAGTAAGAGACTTATTCTACCTCTCCAGTAATAGGTGTTTCAGCACCTGTTGAATAGCCAGCGATCCACTAGGCAGTGTACAAGCAAAATGCGTCTCAAAGGCCGGCTTCTATTGCCAATGCTTGCAGTCCAGTTAGGTAACTGTTACAAAGTTTGTGTTGAGAATGCAACAATGCGTCACACATTTCCTAAGAAACATGTACTAAAAGCCCGTAAACATGATGATGCAAGACGGCGTCAGTATTCCTGCCTGCCACTCACTGGCCAAGCCCTTGACTTCCCTAGCGTCAGTTTTGTCATCTGTACAATGGGGATAGTAACAGCAGCTCGCTTATAGGCTGGTTTGCGTTCAATGACATTAATACATAAAATGCACCTGGCCCAGTGCCAGGAATGTAGCAAACCCTCAACCAACACTCAGAAGACAAAGACAATGGTGCAACCAAAGCTCCTGGGTTGAGCGCTCCTGCCCATTAAGACGTAACTGTAAGTGACGTGAGTGGGTAATTGGGACAGGACTAATGCACACAAACCCTCCCTACCAGGAAATGGCTACATAGTGTACGTCACAGGGACCGCACCACGACAAACTAAGAGTGCTCAGGAAATTTAGAAGTAAAGAGAGAAAGTCGTAACAAAGCCACTAGACCAAAATGCAAACTGGCTTCTGCCGAAGACGTGGATGGCCGTTTTTCCACGGTGGTAAAAGCTGGGGTGGCTTTAATTAGATGATTTGTGAAATGAATTCAACTCAAGTCCCTGACACTCATCCTTCCATGTTGATTCCAAGGTAAATAAGTGGGGTGTTAATTCTTCTCACAGAGAATTTTAAGTCATTATACATCAATCAGGAGTCCTGGTGTGGCGCTGTGGGTAAATGCGCCAGACTGCAAAAGCCGTTTGAATCGCAAGGTCGGCAGCTCAAGCTCACTAGCTGCTCCTTGCAAACCCTAAACAGGGTTGCTATGGGTCAGAATCCACTTGACGGCACTTCACAACAACAACAACAACATACATCAATCTCAGGAGTCCTGGTGTGGCGCTGCGGGATTAACACTGCATGACGAACCACAAGGTCGGCGGTTCAAACCCACCAGCTGCTCCTGGGAAAGCCTGTTCAGGGTTGTTATTAGTCTGAATGGATTCGATGGCACTTCACAACAACAACAGCATCTAGCAACCAGTTATGCTGACCAGTGAGTGCTCAGGCTGCATGACGCAGATGAACGGGCTGTAGGAAGTAGAAACACACATACCAGTTCCACATCAGATGGGACATTCAATCCTAAAGGGGCAACAAATGGCTCTTCGTTTTCCTCCAGACTTTCAGCCTCACTTTTTTCTGGGTAAAAAGAAAACATAAACCATTAGAGACAGGAAGCCCCACCAAGGAATGGTCTGCAATGACTGAGGGCAGGAGCAGTGATGACACCTGGAAGCACTTTGCTAGCCCATCTTCCAGCCCATTCTACTGTGAGTGGGAAGGACCCAGAGAAGCGGGAGAGTCAGATGGCTGTACCAGCCCCACCCTCCACTTACTAGTCTGGGCTCACTCTCAGCTCTAAGTTCTTGTTTATACAAACGCAGAAATCTCATCAGCTCCAGGCGAGAGAAGAGACATAAAGGTTTCTACTCTAGTCCGGAAGCGAGGTGTTTCCTTGCCTGCCCATCCTAGCTTCTCTCGGGCTGATGTGTGTGTTTAACTGAGAGCACTCCTCTCTGCACACCATCTCTGGCATACCATGGTGGCAGGCATAACACACGGTATCGACTGATTTCCAACATGAAACAAAACCAGAACCTGCTAAAAACACTCAACAAAGTAGGAACTGAAGGGAGATTTTTCAACATAATTGTATGCATATGTACAAATCCAAGAGCCAAAATTGCTCTCAATGGAGAGAAACTAAAAGCATTCCCTTTGTGAACAGGAACCAGACAAGGATCCCTTTATTCAATATTGTGTGGAAAGTCTTAGCCAGAGTTATAAGGCAAGAAAGAAAAATTAAAGGCATCCAAGTGGGCAAAGAAAAATTAAAACTCTTATTTGCAGATGATACGATCCTATCCATATAAAATGCCAAAGACTCAGCAAGAAAATTACTAGAATTCACTGAAAAATTTAGCAAAGTGGCAGGATATAAGATCAATATACAAAACCAGTTGGATTCCTCTGTACTAATAAAGATAGCTCTGAAAAGGAAATCGGGAAAACAAGAGCATTTACAAGAGACCACCCAAAAGATGAAACACTTAACCCAAAAGATGAAACAAATCTATTCAGAATGACCTATACAAAGAAAACTACAAAACACTACTACAAGACACCAGACACTTATAAAGTGAAGGACTATACCATGCTCATGGATAGGAAAACTTAACATTGTGAAAATGTCAACACTACTCAAAGCAATATGTATATTATGACACAATCAAAATCCACATGCCAATGTCATTCTTTAAAGAGTTGGAAAAACTATGGAACACCTCACAACATGAACTTGGAGGGCATTATGCTGAGTGAAACAAGTCAGTCACAAAAGGACAAACATTGTATGAGACGACTGTTATAAAAAGTTAATAAACAAAAGCCTTTCTTGATAAATGAGACAATCTATGATGGCTGGGGGAAGGGGAGGGAGAAATATTCCTGGGCTAGAGGGTGGACACATGTTAACATGCGTGTCAGGGCAGGCAACATAAAAAGAAGGAAGTTAGTAAAGGAAAGATGAAGGTAGTAGGTAAATACAACTAACTGTTGGTACAAGATAATGAAGCAAAGTATATGATTTGCTAAATGTAAAACTGATGATCTACTCTATAAACTTGCACTCATTCACAATAAAAAACAAAAACAAAAAAACAAGGAACAAAGATGCAGTGAGCAAACATTGAAAGAGAGAAACCTGAGGGGGTGGGGAAAGGTAGAAAAACTGATCACAAACTTCATATGGAGAGGAAAAAGACCCTGGACAGGCAAAGTGCTGCTTAAGAAGAACAAAGCTGGAGGCGTCTCACTCCTTGATCTCAATGTTTATTACACAACCACAGGGGTCAAAACAGCCTGGGAGTAGTACAATGAGAGACACACAGATCAGTGGAACAGAACTGAGAACCCAGAAGTAAATCTATCCACATATAGTCAGCTGATCTGACAAAGGGCCAAAACACATTAAACGGGAAAAAGAGTTTCTTCAACAAACGGTGCTGGCAAAACTAAAAATGCATTTGCAGAAGATTGAAATACGACACACACCTCACACCATACACAAAAACAAACTCAACGTGTATTAAAGACCTAAATGTAAAACCCAGAACTGAAAAAATCACCCGTGAAAAAACAGGGACAAACTTAGAGGTCTAATGACTGCACGACTTGGGCTATGAACCGCAAGGTCAGCAGTTCGAAACTACCAGCTGCTCCGCGGGAGAAAGATGAGGCTTTCTGCTCCCGTAAAGATTTACACCCTCGG